TAAAAGAACGAGAAGCGGGTTTGCGAGAAAGAGAAGAATTAAGAATTAAGCACAGAAAACAAATACGGAAGATGGAAGAAAAAATTGAGATTAAAGATAATGAAATCACCGCTGTAAGACAGGAAGACGAGATGCTCCAGCATTCGATAATTACATGGCAAAAGAAAATTTGCAAATTTGTAAAATCATTTCAAACGTTCATCTCTTACAGTCTTAAAACGGTTCCTGAATATGCAAAATTCTTCATAAACCTTGAGAAATTGTTATTGCTACAAGTAAACGAAGTATTGGAAGACCCGTCTGTTGAAAGTATTTTTGCGGAAGAAGAAATGTTCCACACTCCTGTACCACCACTCAAACCGTTTTACTTGTTCTGTGACAAAGGTTATAAGGCACAACTGCATGAAGATCTGTGTCCAAAACATAGCGGTACTTCTAGTAATACTTCTCAATTGCCTGCGATTATAATAAACAAGCAATGTCTGTATGCAGCCTGTGACAACTTCGAACAATTTACGAGAAAAATTAAAGATTACATTGAGGGCAAACGTGGTGATGAAGCTGACTTCAGAGATGATCTTGTTTATGAAAATTTTGTCCCTCTAAAGCCTAGTACATCGTCAGAGCAGTTAGCGGAATTACAGGAATTACAATTAGAGAGCTCTTTCTTACAAATATTGGAGAAAGCTAAAATAGAAAACCTTACTGAGAAGTGCTTCTGCCCTGTAAATGAATGCATGTGCGTACCTCCCGTAAATAGCGCTATTGAGCAAATAGAAAAGATAAGCAAAACTAAACCGCCTTCTGTATCAACAAGCCAGAAGAAACAGCTATCAGATCTTAGTAAGCAAATAGATCACATCCACAAATATAAATGGGAAAGCTATTTTGACTATAAAGAGCCCAAATCCTGTATTTGTCCGAAATCTATTATGAGACGCGTAGGTAATCGCTTGCCTGCATATATGAGGCGCGCGAAGTATCCGACACCAAATTGTATCCCAAATTACGAAATGTGTTCGGTTGTAAAGTTGAAGGAACTCGTTCAAGACGCGAGGACAGAAAGTCCTGTTGTGGAGGAGAATTCCGTATCTAGTTTTAAGACTAAAAACATAAGTACTAAGTGTTCTGATCTTAGTTTCCAGAACGCGTGCACATGCTTTGAAACTCTTATTGAACGTGGTGACTCTTTAGATCCGAAATTGTTTGTACCAGTGCAGGATAGTAGTAGAGTGCTGCTAGACTCTAACATATCCCCCTCGTACATGACGCAACCAATTGAATTTTTCGCTCTAGACAGAGCATTTTCTATGAAGAACATCCTTGATGATATACCGGACCTGCAAGAGTATGAAGAAGTGATTAATTCATTAGAATAATGTAGGTATATTAGGTACAATGTGTTTTAAGCTTACCTAATAGAAGTTAGTTAGTTTTTTTTTTCTAAGTTTGTGAAGGCTAATTTTTGTGCGTTTGACTGACTAGATGTTGGTGCTGGAAGTGCTGCCAAGTCTTCATTACATGCAAACGTTTTTTTACATTATGCATTCGCTTTGCTAACGAATCTGTACATTCAACGTTGAGCATTGCATTACAATACTCGGTTCTACACCTTCGCTGATGTAATGCACGAATCTGTAGCGTTACACATGCTCCATAAGGGACATATTTCACTGGGAAACCATGGCGTGATGTCCGTAAGCTACCAAAATAGACAACACAGACACCAGAGTCGCCACACCACACTGCACACTGTAAAATTGAGCGCGGTGCTACAATGGTTGCGCAACCAAGCGGACACCACGTGAGTAACTCTATAGAGCTGTATACATTATGTTGTTAGCGGCGACTGGTTGCGCCGCCATGGTGTCCCGGTGAAATATAGTTAAACGGGATGAATAAAATTCAAAGGGTGAATAGCAACAGGAATGAGGTGAATAGATGTTAGATTTTCCCAATATATATTCACCCTGTTTTATGTTACTTATCGTGAAAGGCGATTCATATTTATTATACTTAATGTTTATTTATTTAAGTTGGAATTTTCTTAAATTTTGTCAATATTTTATTTTATCTCTCATAAGTACTTGCTTGTTAAGTTCAATTTTAGTTTAATGTCTGTGTTAGCTATTATTTCAATAAATATTTCTTTGTTTCCACCACACACAGTTGCATTTTCTGTACCTACTTAATTCATTTTTGCCCACCCTGCATCGACGGTATCATGAAAGAGAATGAGGGAGCAGACAGAGGATCGGTGTCTATATGCGTACATATGTATTGTGTATTGGACTTGGTATAATATAATATATCGTACTAAATTAGGGTGTGTAACTAATTCCATTCAGATTGTTCGCTATGAACGAATTTGATCTATTAATTAACTGTCTAACCGCCAAGCGATTGACATATAAGAAACCCGCGATTCAGAGAACAAGTGTTCCAACATTCATTCATAGATGGTGCTTTTTATTTGAGATCGTTTTCTGAATCGCGGTGTTAAGATTCTCCGCCAATAGTATAAGTGTCGAAAGAATTTATTTTATGTTGGTATCAATCTGTCACGTGCTATTGTATCGTAATTTTTATTGTACAATAATTCGGAATACAAGTGTTCGGTAACCACTACCTACTTTTATTCAAATCAACCCCCAGCTTAACCCTCACGATACCCAGGGTTATCCATGGTCCTTCGAGCCGGATCAAGCGTCATAAATATAACGCTTTTCGGAGTTTTTGGGTATCAGCAGCCAGCACAGAAACCAGTGGTGGATCGTCACTGAAGTGCTCCCAGTGTCGCCGACAGAGGGCGCCACCGCAGTTCAAGCAATTGTGCGGGTAATTCCGGATTCTGGAGCTGGACATCAGTGGAGGCGGCATCCCAGTGTAGCTGAGCATCAAACCTGAGATCGGCGCGCCACCTGGCGGGCGCTGACATCAACAGCAAGCAAGCTGTAAACGACTGACGTCGTAAGGAAGTGAGTGATAGTGCGAAAAAACGTGAGTACTTTGTGATTTGTTTCGTATCAAGCAAAAGTTAACCTTATTGCCTAGAAGACTTTAACTTAGAAAAAATCTTGGACTTAGAATAATTGTTATGTGTGTATGTTAGACTTAGTTAGATTTAAGCCAAATTGTGTTCAGACGGGGAACCTATGCCCGATTTTTAGTAGATTCTCTAAGTTTCAAACACTTAGAAAATTTTGGATATTTAAATGGACTTATAAAATTTCAAACACATATAGAAACTATTTGCTGTTTATAATAGACTTGTACTTTATTTTTGGAATCTGTTTGTTTTTTCTGTGAATTTGTGCTTCAAAATGTCTTTGCAATCACATGTTAGGGTGCAAGATGACATTTACGTCCGATTGTCAAGGGCTAAAAGTAATTTTAAAAAGTCTCCCAAAGATAGGATTACTGTACAATATTTACAAACTAGATTAGAAAGTATTGAAGAATTATGGGCAGAATTTACTTTAACACATACACAGATGGTTAAAGATTTTGATCATAAGGAGTTAACATCTTCGCCTTATACTGTAAACGAGGTCTATTTTAACACTGAAGAATTGTATTTAGATTTAAGATGCGAATTAAAAACTGCATTAAGTAAATTTAAGAATAGTGACGTTCCTTCAGCTATGTCGTCAAATAATGATTCACCTGGTAAAGGCATAGCTATTAAGTTACCGAGAATAACGATTCCCACTTTTTCCGGGAAATATACCGAATGGCCCACTTTTCGTGATTTATTTGTGTCAGCAATTCACAAGAATAGCACTATTGACAATGTCCAAAAATTGCATTATTTAAAAAGTTATTTGACTGGGGAAGCCGAACAGCTCCTCCGTCATATACCAATTTCAGAATCTAATTATGAAAGATGCTGGACTCAGTTAGAGACCAGATATAATAACAGGAAATATTTATCTAATTGTATTTTGGGAAGGTTACTTAGTCAGAAAAATATTATGCAAGAGTCAGCTAGTGCTTTAAAAGAATTAATGGACACAACATCAGATTGCTTAAATGCGTTAATGAATTTGGATATTGATGTAACTTCCTGGGACATTATAATAATTCACATTGTAGCATTAAAACTAGATCCTAACAGCAGAAAGGATTGGGAATTAAAGGTAACTAGCAATATAGATTCGGATGAGTTGCCTACATTCGGGCAGCTCAAAGAATTCTTAACAAGCCGCTATAGGGCGCTTGAATTTTTAGGTACTAAGTCAAGTAACAACAGTGTTGTCAAGGAAAGGGTATTTCACACGGCGGCCAATACAGCCAAGGTATGTCCAGTGTGTAATAGTAACGAGCACAAAATAAGAAATTGTAAACAATTTGTTAATAAGGATGTGGATATTCGGCGTAAGTTTGTCCAGGATCATAATTTATGTTTTAATTGTTTGGGGTACAACCACTCTGCTAGATTGTGTAAATGTACAGCTTCGTGTCAAATCTGTAAGCGAAGACATCACTCCTTACTGCACCCTAAAAATGAGCAGGAATCTGCTGGTGATAAGGGAGATCCATCAACGCAAGCACATTCAACCACTGTCGGAGTGGAATCTCAAAACAAGGTAGTAGCTTGTTTCTCAAAAAGTGGAGTGAGTAGTCAGGTCTTGCTGGCCACAGCGCTGGTGAGGGCTGTATCCAAAAACGGTTTGTTTACGATCAGAGCCTTGTTAGATCAAGGCTCACAAGCGTCTTTTGTTACAGAGCGTACTGTGCAGAGTTTAGGATTGCGTAAAAAAGCGGTTAAGGGTTCAATTACTGGCATAGATGTTAATAACAAATTAGTATTAAATTCGGTTGTTGAGGTCAAAATTCAATCTAGGATTGATCCGTCATATGAACTTGTAGTCAAAGCATACGTTCTCAAATCTTTAACGTCTTTATTACCGGGTAGAGAAACGTCATATTTAGATTGGGCTCAAGTTAGTGACATTGAACTAGCGGATCCTAGGTATCACAAACCGGATAAAGTTGATATGTTGTTAGGGGCAGAAATCTATAGTCAGATTTTGCAGAACGGGTTCAAAAAGGCTCCTGATGGCAGCACAGTAGCTCAGGCTACCTCATTGGGATGGATTTTATCGGGTACAGTTACTTCTGCTTCTCAGAATACATCCAATATTACAGTGATGCATACCCAACTCGGTGATGATGAAATCCTGAAAAAATTCTGGGAATTAGAAAAAGAACCAAATCACATCAAGAAACATTTACTCACCGAAGAGGAATCCAGGTGTGAGGAAATATTTAAGGCTACAACTACTAGAGAAAAGGACGGTCGCTACGTTGTTAACTTACCATTTAAAAGTGAAGATCCAAGCTGTCAATATGGTGATACAAAAAAGGCTGCAATTAAGAGGTTTTATACATTAGAATCTAAATTCGCCAAAGAGACACAGTTAAAGGAAAAATACGCAGACGTTATGAAGGAGTATTTACAACTGGGACATATGAGGGAACTAACTAAATCGGAGGAACAAAATGAGCATGCAGTGTACTTACCTCACCATGCGGTAGTACGTAATGACAAGGACACCACCAAGGTTCGGGTAGTTTTTGATGCGTCCTGCAAGGGAAATAATGGGTTATCTCTCAACGACGACTTAATGATAGGTCCTAGACTGCAACCAGATTTGCGACATTTGTTTATTGGTTGGAGAACGCACCGCATTTGCCTTGTTTCGGACATCGTAAAAATGTACCGAATGATACGCGTTGCTGACCATCATACCGATTTTCAGCGTATCGTGTGGAGAGATAACAAGCATTCTACACTAAAACATTACAAATTACTTACTGTTACCTTTGGTACCTCTTCAGCACCTTTTTTGGCAGTGCGTTCGATGCAGCAAGTGGCGTACGATGAGGGAATTAAATATCCATTCGCAGCTGAAAGGGTACTTAAAGATTATTACATGGATGATTTGATGACTGGTTGTGACACGATAGAAGAAGGCATGCAAATCTATGATCAAATGAACGAGTTACTTGCAAAGGCGGGATTTACTTTACAAAAGTGGTCAAGCAACAGCAGTGAATTACTGGAAAAAATGATCGGGAAAAGATACTCGTTCAAGGGACAGCAAAATGTAGAAAAAGAGATAAGTATAAAACAAGATGAAGTATTTAAAACTTTGGGACTTACCTGGAACCGAACCTGTGACACTTTCCAATATTCCGTTCAGCTACCTGCGCTGCAAGAACCTGTAACAAAAAGGAAAATATTATCAGATATAGCAAGACTATTTGACCCTTTAGGATGGGTCGCCCCAGTAATTATTGTAGCAAAAATGCTTATTCAAAAATTGTGGATTTCTGGGATAGCATGGGATGAGGAAGTTCCATGTGAAATAAAAAAGGAATGGCTTACTTACCGACAGGAGTTACACTTTTTAACGAAGTTTTCAGTACCTCGATGGTTACACATGAAGCACGGTGACAAGCAGATTGACTTACACGGATTTTGCGACGCCTCAAAATCAGCATATGCTGCGGTAGTATATGTACGGGTTGTCGATGCTGATGGTGGAATACATGTCAACTTGCTGACCGCAAAAACTAAGGTGGCTCCTATAAAGACTGTATCAGTCCCTCGATTAGAGCTATGTGGGGCTGTTCTCTTGGCAAAACTTCTATCCGAAGTCTCTGAGGTTATGGGGATAAGTAAATCAAATTTGTACTACTGGACTGATTCAGAGATTGTATTAGCGTGGTTAAATTGCCATCCGAACAAATGGAAAACATTCGTAGCAAATCGAGTTTCTGAAATCTTATGTATCAGTGAACCACAGCAATGGAATCATGTTCAGTCAAAAAGCAATCCGGCTGATTGCGCATCGCGTGGTCTCTATGCGTCAGATTTTTTGAACTTTAAACTTTGGTTAGAGGGTCCAAGATTCCTGAAGGATACAAATATTATATATAGTAAACACAAGGCAGCATCAACAGACGTAGAAGCAATAAAAGTACATGTAGTATCAGAAGACAACTTTATTTGGGATAAATATTCATCACTTACAAGACTTGTTAGAATAGTAGCATATTTAAGACGTCCTTTAGAATTAAGAAAACCAAAACCTGAAAGAAATAATCATACATTTATAACTGCCGTAGAGTTGAAATTAGCTTTGGAGACATGTATAAAGATATGTCAGGATCGAAATTTCGAAGAAGTAATTCTGGATCTGAAAAAAGAGAAGCCTAAAAGAAAGGAGTTTAAATCATTAAATGTTTACCTTGATTCCGTTAATATCTTGAGGGTGGGCGGTAGACTGGAGCGTTCTGATCTTGCCAGAGATCGTAAAAACCCAATTTTAATTCCTAGCAATTCTCATTTTACTAATCTTCTAATTGCTGATGCACATGATAGGAATCTACATGGCGGACCTCAACTCAAAATCCAGAATCCAATATAGGAGATGTTGTGTTAATTAAAGAGGATAATTTACCTCCCTATCGGTGGCTGCTTGGCAGAGTGGTAGAAAGGCATCCGGGGTTGGACAATCTTACACGAGTAGTCACAATTCGCAGTAATGGTTCTATGCTCAAAAAGCCCACATCTAAACTGTGTGTCTTGCCCGTTGCCTAATTATATTAGTTTAGGATAACTTTAAGCCATATTGTTAATCTTATTTATGTATTTCGTTGTAACTTTTTGTAACATTAGAAGGACATAATGGTATAATGTCCTTGGTGGGCGGAATGTCTAACCGCCAAGCGATTGACATATAAGAAACCCGCGATTCAGAGAACAAGTGTTCCAACATTCATTCATAGATGGTGCTTTTTATTTGAGATCGTTTTCTGAATCGCGGTGTTAAGATTCTCCGCCAATAGTATAAGTGTCGAAAGAATTTATTTTATGTTGGTATCAATTTGTCACGTGCTATTGTATCGTAATTTTTATTGTACAATAATTCGGAATACAAGTGTTCGGTAACCACTACCAAGTACTTTTATTCAAATCAACCCCCAGTTTAACCCTCACGATACCCAGGGTTATCCATG